ATTTAATCTTCTATATGGTAGTGAATGCTGGACTATCTCCTCACAGATGAAGACGAGACTTGAAGCGACAGAGATGTGGTTCTACTGACGAGTGTCCTTAGAAACAAAGAAAAGAATGTTGGACGGCTATGTAATATCTAATCTCCTATATGGCAGTGAATGCTGAACAATCTCCTCACAGATGAAGAAGTGACTTGAAGCGACAGAGATGTGGTTCTACTGACGAGTGTCCTTAGAAACAAAGAAAAGAGTGTTGGACGGCTATGTAATATTTAATCTCCTATATGGTAGTGAATGCTGGACTATCTCCTCACAGATGAAGACGAGACTTGAAGCCACAGAGATGTGGTTCTACTGACGAGTGTCTTTAGAAACAAAGAAAAGAGTGTTGGACGGCTATGTAATATCTAATCTCCTATATGGCAGTGAATGCTGGACAATCTCCTGACAGATGAAGAAGATACTTGAAGCAACAGAAATGTTCTACGGAAGGATGCTGAAGATGCGATGGACCGAACATGTGAGTAACGATGAAGTTTTAGAGAATATTGACAAAAAAGAGAATTTATACTTATCAACGTGTAGAGAGAGTTGATATTTCTGGGGCATTTCTTATGAGGAAAGGGGCCTTGGGAAATCTGATGATCACAGGACAGATAGAAGCCAAGAGGGCTTGAGTAAATAGATGGCGGAACACGGTTTAGGAGAAATAACAAAACATTTATTAAGAGTTACAAAAAAGAGGAAATTGTAGAGAGCTGTGACCGCCAAAGGCCTAAAAGGACATGGCACATAGAAGATGAAGAATTTCACATTCTTCTGCACAGATATGGCTACGTTGAGTGCCGTTTGTAGTCTTCTTCCTTTATGTGCCGTATCACTTCAAGACGGAAGTAATCATTGTCCTTCACATCTTCCTGTCACTTATAGCTCGTAATAAATTCTGTTTTTCTCCCGAACCCTTCTCTAACATCTATTTACGCAAGCTCATTCTTCTTCATCTATGTGCCGTGTTACTTCAGGACATATACGATCATGGCACTCCACATCTTCCTGTCCTTTCAACCATTAATAAGTTTTGACTTTTTGTTATTTCTCCCAAACACTATTCTGAGATGTTAAGTATTAATTTTCTTCTTGTTTCCATTTTCGCGAAAAACCACGTCGTTTCTTACGTGTACGTTCCATGGTATACTCCGTTTTTAAAACCACAATTCTGTTGCTTCAAGTCTATTCTTCATTTCTGGAGAAATTGTCCAGCATTCGCTGCCATATAGGAAGACAAATATCACGTAAGTGTTCAGTACGCTTTTCTTTGTTTCCATTGCTCCAAGTCTCTTCTTCATTTTCGAGGAAATTGTCTAAAATTCGCTGCCATATAGGAAGACAAATATCATGTAACAGTTCAGTACGCTTTTCTTTGTTTCCGTTGCTTCAAGTCTCTTCTTCATTTTTGAGGAGATTGTCGAGCATTCGCTGCCATATATGAAGACAAATATCATGTAACACTTCAGTACGCTTTTCTTTGTTTCTGTTGCTTCAAGTCTCTTCTCCAATTCTGGAGAGATTGCCCAGCATTCGCTGTCATATATGAAGACAAATATCAGGTAACAGTTCACTAAGCTTTTCTTTGTTTCCGTTGCTTCAAGTCTCTTCTTCATTTTTGAGAAGATTGCCCAGCATTCGCTGCCATATAGGAAGACAAATATCATGTAACACTTCAGTACGCTTTTCTTTGTTTCCGTTGCTTCAAGTCTCTTCGTCATTTTAAATTAGATTGTAGAGCATTAGCTGCCATATAGGAAGACAAATATTATGTAACAGTTCAGTACGATTTTCTTTGTTTCCGTTGCTTCAAAACTCTTCTTCATTTTTAATGAGATTGTCCAGCATTCTCTCCCATATAGGAAGACAAATATCATGTAACAGTTCAGTACGCTTTTCTTTTTTTCCGTTGCTTCAAGTCCATTCTTCATTTTTGAGGAGATTGTCTAGCATTCGCTGCCATATTGGAAGACAAATATGATGTAACACTTCAGTACGCTTTACTTTGCTGCCGTAGCTACAAGTCTCTTCTTTATTTTTAAGGAGGTTGTCCAGTATTCGCTGCCATATAGGAAGACAAATACCATGTAACAGTTCAGTACGCTTTATATTTGTTTCCGTTGCTTCAAGTGTCTTCTTCATTTGTGAGGAGATTGCCCAGTATTGGCTACCATATAGGAAGACAAATATCATGTAACAGTTCAGTACGCTTTTCCTTTTTCCGTTGATTCAAGTCTATTCTTCATTTTTGAGGAGATTGTCTAGCATTCGCTGCCATATTGGAAGACAAATATCATGTAACAGTTCAGTACGCTTTTCTTTGTTTCCGTTGCTTCAAGTCTCTTCTTTATTTTTAAGGACATTGTCCAGCATTCGCTGCCATATAGGAAGACAAATATCATGTAACAGTTCAGTACGCTTTTCTTTGTTTCCATTGTTTCAAGTCTCTTCTTTATTTTTAAGGACATTGTCCAGCATTCGCTGCCATATAGGAAGACAAATATCATGTAACAGTTCAGTACGCTTTTCTTTGTTTCCGTTGCTTCAAGTCTCTTCTTCATTTTTAATGAGATTGCCCAGCATTCGCTGCCATATAGGAAGACAAATATGATCTAACAGTTCAGTACGCTTTTCTTTTTTTCCCTTGCTTCAAGTCTCTTATTCATTTTAATGAGATTGTCCACCATTCGCTGTCATATATGAAGACAAATATCATGTAACAGTTCACTACGCATTTCTTTGTTTCCGTTGCTTCAAGTCTCTTCTTCATTTTTGAATAGATTGTCCAGCATTCGCTGCCATATAGGGACACATATATCATGTAACAGTTCAGTACGCTTTTCATTGTTTACGTTGCTTCTAGTCACTTCTTCATTTTTGAGAAGATTGCCCAGCATTCGCTGCCATATAGGAAGACAAATATCATCTAACAGTTCAGTACGCCTTTCTTTTTTTCCGTTGCTTCAAGTCTCTTCTTCATTTTTGAGGAGATTGCCCATCATTCGCTGCCATATTGGAAGACAAATATCATGTAACACTTCAGTACGCTTTTCTTTGTTTCCGTTGCTTCAAGTCTCTTCTTCATTTTTGAGGAGATTGCCCATCATTCGCTGCCAAATTGGAAGACAAATATCATGTAACACTTCAGTACGCTTTTCTTTGTTTCCGTTGCTTCAGGTCTCTTCTTCATTTCTGAGGAGATTGCCCATCATTCGCTGCCATATTTGAAGACAAATATCATGTAACACTTCAGTACGCTTTTCTTTGTTTCCATTGTTTCAAGTCTCTTCTTTATTTTTAAGGACATTGTCCAGCATTCGCTGCCATGTAGGAAGACAAATATCATGTAACAGTTCACTACGATTTTTTTGTTTTTGTTTCTGTTTCATTTTCAAGTCTCTTCTTCATTTTAATGAGATTGTCCAGCATTGTTTAAGCTGCCATATATGAAGACAAATATCATCTAACAGTTCAGTACGCTTTTCTTTGTTTCCATTGTTTTAAGTCTCTTCTTCATTTCTGAAGAGATTTTCCAGCATTCGCTGTCATATAGGAAGACAAATATCATGTAACAGTTCACTACGCTTTTCTTTGTTTCCGTTGCTTCAAGTCTCTTCTTCATTTTTGAGGAGATTGCCCAGCATTCGGTGCCATATATGAAGACAAATATCATGTAACACTTCAGTATGCTTTTCTTTGTTTCCGTTGCTTCAAGTCTCTTCTTCATTTTTGAGGACATTGTCCCGCATTCGCTGCCATATAGGAAGACAAATATGTAACAGTTCAGTACGCTTTTCTTTATTTCTAAGGAAGTTTTTCTGTCCATTACTACTTTCCCTAGCTTTTGGAATGCATCTTTGGCCATTCCAGTACTTCTTCGAATCTCTGCGTCGCACTCGACGTTCTCTGACAAAACACTTCCCAAATATTTAAATTCCGGTAAATGCTTGGTTTTAGTTTCTCGACCTCTAAATCTTATTTTCGGGCTCATACTTTGACCGATGACCATGCATTCTGTCTTCTTATGCTTAGCCCCTTCTTCTTCTTTTAATTTAGACATTATGTGACACATGAGGAGTTGATAAACCATGAAAAACAGTACTCTTTTCTTTTTTTTTACCAAGGAAATCGTCCTGTCTTTTCTTTACCTTGCTTTTGAAATGCGCCTTTCGCCATCTCAGTACGTTTTCGGATCTCACTGTCGCACTTGACGTCTTTGACTTCCCAAATATTTAAAATTCTCTATTTGATTTTCGTATTCCTGATTTTAATTTGCATTTGGGGCTCATCCTTTTGCCGATAACCATATATTCTGTCTTCCTGTAGTTTATACTTATTCCTTTCTTCTCGGTTTCCTCCGCTGCCTCCTGTAGGAGGTTTTGTAGTTTCCTTTCCGCGTCTGCCATCAACACTGTGCCATCTGCACATTTTATGTTGTTAAGATTGTGACCGCCAATAATAAATCCAGGTAAATCTTCTATTGCAGTAGTTGTAAGTAAATAGCTCACCATATGTAGTGAATGACTTCTCTTAGTGTTTGGCGACTTGCGCGTTAGGTCAAATTTTAGGATGAGCATTTTCAGAAAAAATAACTTCAACATTCTGATCATAGATAGATAGAGAGTTAGATATATAGATAGATAAAGTCGGAGATATATATGAACAGGCTGAGATAGATAGATAGATAGATAGATAGATAGATAGATAGATAGATAGATAGATAGATAGATATGTAAAGATTGAGATATATATATGAACAGGCTGAGATAGATAGATAGATAGATAGATAGATAGATAGATATGTAAAGATTGAGATATATATGAACAGGCTGAGATAGATAGATAGATAGATAGATAGATAGATAGATAGATAGATATGAAGAAACTCGAATTTATATGTGACGTCCCACCGGTGTCGCTGCGTCAAATGTGACGTCTGCCTGGTTGCCTCCGTCGTGCTATCCTGTCTTGTGACGACCAACTGGCTTGGTATTGGTCGCGGCACCAAATGTGACGTTCTAAACTTTTGGTGATTCGGATGGGAATCTGGTTAGATTCGGTATCAGCCTTGTCGTTCCCAGCTCGCCTCCAACGTCTGGTTACCGAAGTAACTGCTTTGATTTCCAGTCTAACCTACCCACTTTGTGAATTGATCTTAGGCAGACGAAATCAATCAGTCACCGGGCCGTAATGCAAGTCGAGTTCGGACAAGGGTGATATCGCATAACTATATGTAAATGAAAATAAAATAATAACTCGAAAAGTTCAAATGTGTTAAAAAAAGGATAACAATACTTTATATCTGGTTGCTGAGTACAGGACTGAGTCTTCTTCCCAACTCGCTATATGGATTCGTGACACTTTGTGTTTGTTAGGCGAGTCTTAACATCTTAAGTTGTTTGTTCTTTAAGAAACTAGTTTTTGGCGTCTCTTCAAGCGATATTCGTAAAACTTGTCTTGGTGGTGTGAGTCTAAGTCGTTCTTCAAAAATAAATTTTTCTTCGCTAGAAGTTGAGTTCGGAATTTGCGCGAATCTTAGTCAGTTTCTACGAGGCAGGTCTTCAGAGCTTTCACCTCACTGCAACTGCTTGCCTGTCTGTCTCCAACCCTAACTGGAACTGAACTCAACTGGAACTGATTTTCACCCGCTGCGACTCTGCTTATATGGACGCCGGCCAAAACCGGGGTGGGCTTGTCGGGGTTTGAGGTTCCTTGATAATTCCAAACCAACAATCCACTTCTTTGTTTTCGGTCAGGAAAATTTTATTATTTTCTATTTTTGGAAGTCTTTTCGTCCTCCCACCTTCTTCTGTTTTCATATTGGTATCTCACCATACACTCAGAGGTTGTCAACGGGTTTCCCCTCTCTCTCACAGTGGTATCTCACACCTATCCCCTCAATGGGTGCCAACTGGCCTCCCCTCCTACTTCACATGATTACCTCCGCCTAACGCCCATGCTTACCATTCAGCCAATGGGCGCTCAGCGGCGTTGGTGTGGCCAAACTAGCCTCGGTTTAAAAAAATCTTGCTGAAAGAAAAAAAAATTATCTTTTTTTTTTCTCTTTTCCTTTTCTTTCTTCTCTTCGAGGAGACCTCACACCCTAGACTCTTTATCTTTAACCGAATTACCTGGAATTCGTCAATTAGCTTTTCGCCATCACCAAGCGTGTGGCCAACCAGACGTACCTGCACTCCTGGCGCCAACAACTGATCCGATAAAACAGTCCCGCCACCACAGCCGAATTTCATATGGAATTCGTCAACGAGATTTTCGCCAATTATCAAGTGGGTGGTCAATTGGACGTTTCGCATTCTGGCGTTATCTATTCCCGATAAAATAATTTCGCCACCATAGCCAGTTTCGACACAAAACAGATGCCTTTTCCAAACGACCTTCCCGTAGATAACCAATGTTTTTGTCTTTTGTTTTTGTAACTCTGTGTGGTCCAAATGGACATTTTCGGGGTTTTTTTTTTTGCGACCCAGTTAATTTTTTATCTATTTAGAATTCTGTCTCTGAGGTTATTTGACCAACCTGGAATTTCCACCCGCCCCGTAACATAAATCAGATTAATTCCAGTATCTTCCTTTCTCGACAATGGAAATAAAAATTTTACTACTTTTCCTTGTCAGAAAAATAACACTGCTTAGTGTCCTTTTCGTGATGGCTTTTTATCATCTAAATTTAATTCTCGCCTTTCTTTTTTATTCTTTCTTTTTTTTTTGCAAGCCAAATAGTTTCACAGATAGATAAATAGATATATCGATAGATATGATGAAACTCGAATAGATAGATAGATAGATAGATAGAAATACGAAAAGGCATACAAAAAGTATCGGGACTGTTGCCATGGTAACAGAACTAAAGAATGCATAGTGAAACAGCTTCACAAAGACTTGTCATGATCTCTGTCGTGCATACACACTAAGTTTTAACGTTTCCGCTCACATCCGTTGTTTATAGCAGTCATTGGAAGGAAAGTGTGTAGAGTGGGTTTGTTTCACCACATCACTGATGTTCCATCAGTGTCCAGGACTTGTGCTGCAGTTTTTTGGCCAAGGACAAAATTTTCCGGTTCCGATAACCACCATGTTTCCCAGATGTTTTTTTTTCTCTTCAATCCCACTTGGAAAGAAACAATTTACAAGAAGTCGAGATAATCCTAGGGAATGCGACCACGCAGTTTCTCACAATCTTCCCAAAAAGAAGCGCCAGAAATGCTTCCATCAAGATTATTTCGAAGGTGATTAAATGCCGAATTGATATATGTTGGATTTTTATTTTTATAGCACCAGCCCCGATACTGTTTTATCAGCCTCTGATATATATATATATATATATATATATATATGCTTATACGTTTTTTTTATAGATACAAAATTTAAGTAAATGCTCTGTTTAAAACATGATAGAAACAAAGTGATATGTATATGCACACACACGTATATATATATATATATATATATATATATACACACGTAATGTGTATATATATTTATATATATATATATATATATATATATATATAAAAGTAAACATAAGTCAACACTTAGAGGCGACACTCTGTTTCATGCTATATGCAATCGTCAGGCCACGACTGTCGCCTCTAAGTGTTGACTTCTATGTTCACTTTTATATTTTATATTTATACGCTCTATCTCTGATATTGAGCACTTTATTCCATAAATATAGCATACCTTAAGACTATATTTCTTCATATATATATATATATATAGATAGATAGATAGATAGATAGATATGAACAGACCAAGATAGATAGATAGATAGATAGATAGATAGATAGATAGATAGATATGAACAGACTAAGATAGATATAGATAGATATGAACAGACCAAGATAGATAATGAACAAACCAAGATAGATAGATAGATAGATTTTTGGCGACGGGTTCCTCACACCAAAACAAGGACAAAATTCTATAAAAACATATGTCGGCAAATCCTTCCTTCTTGAGTTATCAAATTTAAAGTATATAGTAGACACTGTTAAATTTACAAACCAAGATTACAATTCCTGACGCGGAAACAAGGTAAAATGTCCACATAGACGTATGTCCAAGAGGTCATCGTTGTACCTCAACACAACAACTCAAAGCAAATGTTCAAAATGTCCTCTGTTTGCTTCTACACACGCATGCACCCGTCGGATCATTGACTGGCGGACCCTTTCAAATATTCCCACACGGTGTTGAATGGTTTTGCAGGCCCCCATGACACGTTGATGAAATGTCTCTGCATTATGAATGTCTGCTGCATAAAGCAATTGTTTAAGGTGGTCTCACAGATAAAAAAACCCAAAAGGATTGAGAAGTGAAAGGGTAAGGAGAACCGATCCTCCCCTATATATCTATCTTGAGTGGACTTTATGTAAACCTTTGTCCTTGATTTGGCGTGAGGAATACACCCCGAATGTTTGGAAAAGTATTTTTGACACACGCTGCGTATACATATAAATATATGTACAGAGAGAAAAACAGATATAAACAGACTGACATATATATAGAAAGAGAGAGAGAGAGAGACAGGTAAACAGACAGAGGGGAAGAGAAAGCGAGAGAGAAGGTAAGAGAAAGAAAGATAGAGGGAAAGGAAGAAAGCGTGAGAGAGGATGGAATAGAATGGGGGAGAGAATGATTTAAACAAACTGAGATAGATAGATAGATAGATAGATAAAACAGAAGATAGATAAAAAGACAGACTGATAGAAGCAGATGTGTATACGTACACACACGCATATACATATATATATAGAGAGAAAAGAAATAAACAGATAAATATGAACAGAGTGACATATATATATATATATATATATATATATATATATATATATATATATATATATATAACAACATAAATAAAATAAATCCTTTACTTTATTTATTCCCGATCTACTTAGCGTATTGAGCACTCTACGTTTTAGTTTTACTACTCGCTTGTATTTTTTTTCTTTGGACTAAAGACTTAAGGCACTGGATGATTTGTTTCGCCTTATTCAAATAATTTTAGTTCTTTCTTTTTTTTTCCCAATTTTTTCTAGGGTACCGATTTGTTTTGACATATCTGCAAGTTGTGCTATCCGAGGATTTTTTCATACATATATATATATACCACTGCTCAAAGCTTAGAACGGCTCATGAGCAAACATAATAGACATTCGTTCCATTTTATATTTAACAATATATTGAATTATATATATATATATATATATATATATAGAGAGAGAGAGAGAGAGAGAGAGAGAGAGAGGGTGAGAGAGAGAGAGTGCGTGGTAAATAATCTGACATAGATAGATAGATAGATAGATAGATAGATAGATAGATAGATAGATAGGAGCAGGTGTGTATACGCACACCTGCACACATATATATACATATATATATATATATATATATATATATATATATATATAGAGAGAGAGAGAGAGAGAGAGAGACATTGAGAGAGAGAATATGAGTAAGAAACTGATAGATATAAGCAGACTGCCATATATAGAGTAAGAGAAAATAATAAACAGAGTGAAAGGTGAACAAAACGAGATAGATAGATATGTAAAGCCTGGGATATATTTGAACAGGCTGAGATAGATAGATAGATAGATAGATAGATAGATAGATAGATAGATAGATGATAGATAGATAGATGAATGAAAAGCCTACGATCGATAGATAGATGAACAGCCTACGATAGATAGATAGATAGATAGATGATAGATAGATAGATAGATAGATGAATGTGAAAAGCCTACGATCGATAGATAGATATGAACAGCCTACGATAGATAGATAGATAGATAGATAGATAGATAGATAGATAGATAGATAGATATGAAAAGCCTACGATCGATAGATAGATATGAACAGCCTACGATAGATAGATAGATAGATAGATAGATAGATAGATAGATAGATAGATATGAAAAGCCTACGATCGATAGATAGATATGAACAGCCTACGATAGATAGATAGATAGATAGATAGATAGATAGATAGATAGATATGAAAAGCCTACGATCGATAGATAGATATAAACAGCCTACGATAGATAGATAGATAGATAGATAGATAGATAGATAGATAGACAGACAGACAGACAGATACTACGATTACGGTCGTGATTCTTTGGTAGGAAAGAGGAATAATTGTTTTATCTGAACGTAAAGAAAAATAAAAAAATATGCACTCACGCACACACGCACACACGCACACACGCACACATATGCATGCACACATTTGATGTTTTTTCTAATCATGTGTGTATACGCGTGTATGTGAGTGTACTGTGCGTTTTTTTTTTATTATTAAATCTTACCTGGACCTTTTACCCCGATTGCAAACTAACCCTTCTTTTTCTTTTTTTCTTTTTTTTTTTTATCTTATAGCCGCCATCTTAGCGTCTGTTTTATTCGGTCACAAAATGTCGAACCGCGACATGAATGGCATCGAGTTGGTGACAACGGCCGCCTATTATTCGTCACTGCAATGTATTGCATATGAGTCATAACTGCAGTCATCTACAGGGCGAAATGGACAGATAGGTTTAGAGAAAGAAAGAAAGAAAGAAAGAAGGAGGGGGAAAACTGCCGCTTGCCCATTCATTAAAAAGAAAAAAAAGAAAGAAAGAAAGAGAAGGTTAGATAGAGAATGTTAGAAAGAAAGAAAGAAAAAAAAAAAAAACAAAAAAGGGAGCCCAGCCCCCTGCTCATTCATTAAAGGAAGAAACAAACAAAGAAAGAAACAAACAAAGAAAGAAGGAAAGAAAGAAAGAAAATAGCAAAGGTCAGTCAATGCTGACGATAGACGTCAGAAAATCTACGGATAACCCTCCGTATAAAAATGCATCTATCAGATTATTTATAATCTGATAGATGCATTTTTTACGGAGGGTTATCCGTAGTTAAAAAAAAACTTCACATCTGTTGAAAACACATTGCTTTATTATTATGAGAGTTTGTTCATGTGCGCGAATGTATATTTCTTTTTATGTGTAGAGACATTTATCTCCAAGGTGGAACACCGATTTGGCATGTCGAGTTCAAATTCCAGCGGAGCGTGTAAATATATATATTTATATATATATATATATATGTGTGTGTGTGTGCGTGTAGAAAGAGAGAGAGAGAGAGAGAACTAGATAGATATAAATTGATTTATACAGACACACACACACATATATATATAGAGAGAGAGAGAGACAGAGAGAGAGAGAGAGGAAGAAAGACAGACAGACAGAGAGAGCGTGAAGTAACCAAGCTGATAGATATATAGATACATAGACAGATATGAATAGAACGAGATAAATACGAATAGAATGAGATAGATAGATAGATAGATAGATAGATAGAAGCAGATATGTATACACACACATGCATATACATATATATATATTGAACACAGATTCTTCCATAGCTCAAAGGAAAGTGATCTCAAACTATTGCATTCACTATTGTATTATCAATCTATGTGATTAAACCATTTCTTCGCTAATCTTTTGTTCCAGTCCTTTCTTTGCAATATTATTAACCAGAACTGCACGTTTATCCGAGCCTTATAACAAGCAACTATATTGAATCGATTGCAAAGTCTGCTCCTAAGTTGGTTTACTGTACCAGACAATGCCTCTCGCCAGAATTCATCTTGAACATCTAGAAATAAAGCTTTCGTCCATGCACTGAATACTGCTGGCATATCTGATCTGGTGCTCCTGCTGTACATCTCGAAAAAGGGTCTGTGATGTAGTCGGTTCTGACCTGGCATCTCGACTTCAGTCACTTTCTCACTGACGTGACGTGGCTTCCCTCTGTCTTTTCTACAAATATTTTCACGACAACTGCTCTGATGAGATTTCTTCCTTAGGGTGTGTACTGCATGAATTTATGCGTGCTACTAGATTGGCAGGTTATCTCACCGTTTTATTAGATATATGCAACTCTCTCTTCTTTTCTAACAGTTTCTTTTCTCGCACGTCTCACCTGTGGAACTCTTTTCCGATTTCTTGCTTTCTTAACTACGTACAATCTTCAAACATTTAAATACACTGTCAATCGCCAACCTCTGTCTTCCTGGAACCTCTTCCTTCATTGTCCTGTCCTTAACTTATCCTTACTAATGTCTTCTCATTCTCTTTCACCCTCTGAAACCCCCCCACTTCTTAGCGGCATTATCGCCTTGCTGGGGGCGAAAAAAAAATCATGTTTCGAATAGGAACTTTACACTACATTTTCATATATACTTTGTGGAATTGTTTAGTCTTCTTTCACTTTTCTTTTCTTATCTAGCTACGCACACACACACAGACATGTTGGAATTTCTGGGTACCCTGGTGTACTAGTGAGCCATCCAAAATGAGCTGACTCATTTTATAGTTCACCAATAGAGGGGTTGACCAATCAGAAGGCTCAAAATATTCAATGCGACGTGTATAAAGGCGGCCATGTTTTTCCCGAATATGCACTGCCAGCCTTTGATAACCCGGACGAAGCTCCGCCGAAGGGCAGAATGATATTTATACGCGTTCGAAGAGGGAATATTTTGGGCCGAGCCTACGGCCTCGGAGATCCCACGTTAATCCCGGCCTTGTGCCAGATGTAACCCTCGTCGGGGGTGGCTAAATATCACTGCTAACCTTTGATATCGAAGACTGAAGAATTACTTCAATATAGTCAGATTCAGTAAAATATCTGACTCGAGAGTATTAATCTTTAACGTTGTTTCATTGAACAGATTACGTACTGTGCTGTATTCTATATTCATAGAATATGGTGAACATAGTCAACACACACACACACACACACACACACACACACATATATATATATATATATATATATATATATATATATATATATATATATGTACGTATAAAACAGAGGATGTCAGTGTGTCTGTGTGTCTTTGTCCGTCTGTCTGTCTATGTCATACCTTTTCACTCGAGATCCATCCAACTGATTTTGACCAAACTTGGTGTATACATTGTACAATGTAAGAGATAGGTTCTTAGCGATATTTTTTAAAAAATCAATAATCGATAAAGCCGATCAAATTTCGATAAATTCAACTTTTTTCCTCCGATTTCCTTCAAAATCGGTATGTAGGTTACTTACATCCTGACGAGCTCAACGATACCTCATTTTTATTTCTACGCCACCTTGTTTAGCGAAAAAAAGCGAAAAAAGAAAAGCCGACAAATTTTCAGCTAAAAACTCCTTCAATTTTCAAGCAATCTAATACAAACTTCACTCAATTATAGACGACATTAATGTGGATTGTTTAACAGTCATTTAACTTACAGTGAAAGCACGCATAAATAGCAAAAATGCCGTAGCCCAACATATTATAGCATGTAGAATCAAGCCGACTCCGTGAGCAAATTAAAAACATTCCGATCCGGATCTGGACCTACCTTCCAGAAATTTTGGATTCCAAACTTTTCATTACTGCGATATTTTTCCCGGAACTTTTCCGTAATTTTTTGCGACGATTTTGTGCAATAACAATTTTTATTACTTGGAAATATATTTGGGAATAATCGAAATTAACTTCGAAATCCGACGAACGTCACCCATGAAATAAAAACAAACTTTTGTAGGGAAAGTAATGATCTACGTACATCAAATTGTCTTTAAATTAAGTGGCTGCAGAAGAATTATCGTTGAGCTTTTAAAAGGTAAGGTTAAATATTAATTCAATACTTAAATGCAGCGACCAATTTTGAGTTCTTATGTTTATTGTTGTCGATAGCATACGGCAGCAGTATGCCTCGCAAAAAGAAATCTCCGCCAACCAGAATGCAATCAAAAGAGCCAAGGCTGCAGCGAGAAAAACAAAGTCTCGTGCAGATGAAAACTCAGATCAAACGGCAGCCAGGAGAGCTTCCAACGCTGAGACTATGCAAAGACTTAGAGACGCTCAATCTCCTGAACAAGCCGACGGCTTAAATAAGAACCTTCCGCAGGAGCTAGTTTAATTGCTGCCCGATAGGGTGACTTTTTGCTGGTATATATATATATATATATATATATATATATATATATGAGTTCTCTCAGTCACTGTGTGTTTATCTAAAAATAAATATGTGTACATTCACCTTCATCCCAACAGCTTAGGAGTAGAATCTCCGACTAACGCCAATTCAGCCGGGTTTCGATACTAGCTAGAGACATTTAATACAGCGAAATAGTTCGTATGTGGATGACTATATATATATATATATATATATAGGTAACTACAAAACTTTTCCAAAAAAGAGTAAACTTTCTAAAAAAGAGTTTATTTTTGAGTATTTTAGGAAGTTTTTAATCTTCTCTGACACATTTGAAATTTTGGCTATTTTTTTTTATTTGCGTCAGCGTGTGGGGGAAAGATTCGTATTGGGATTGTTAGCGTCTTTTTGGGCGCTGAAATATTTTTGGGAAATCCTTTCAAATATCAAATAACTGTCGAATTAAATTTTCGGGACTTATTGATAAATTATTATCAATGAAATTATTTTTAATTTTTTTTTCAAATTTCTTGGTAAAAATATGTTATTTTTTTTTTTTACATCTGTTACTCCCAATTTTATGAAAGTTTGAGAAATTAAACCTGCAGCTTAAAACAGAAAAACAATTTACCGAAAATCTGCTATGAACCGTAAAATAAAAAAATGGATAAAAATTAGACATTATTTACTTAGAAAAGCTTGCAATTGCTTTTATAAATAAGATATATTAAGGACAATAGAGATTTTTAAAAAATTGATGTATTTTTACGAGAATTTGTTCTAGTATCGTATTTTTTCTGGTATTTTTATTTTAAAATGTGCTTAAGTTTTAAAATAATAATTATCTCTATCTATAAAAGGCAGGATGTGTGTGTGTGTGTGTGTGTGTGTGTGTGTGTGTGTGTGTGTGTGTGTGTGTGTGTGTGTGTGTGTGTGTGTGTGTGTAACGAGTGCACGGCCGCGATTTTCGATGGATTTGCACCAAAATTTATATGTACATGCTCCAAGTTAGCGGGAAGGCCAAGACCGACTTTGCATTTCCCAACTCCCATCGATAGTGGAAATAATCGATTTTTTCATGCTTCTATGGCCGTTTTCATGTAGTTTGCGGCCATTTTGTACTGGCCAGAGTGAGAGCCTATAGCTGGCTGCCACGAATAGACAGGAAGATTCTATTGGACAGCGTGAGAGCCAACAGCTGACTGACACGAATGTTAACTAGCATGCAAAAAATTGATAGCTGCATTCGTCACAAGTGGGAAAAATTTAAATCTGCATGGTACTTTACTCCAATTGGCTCATTCGCTTGCTTAAACTCAACGTTGATTCTGATTCCGCAGAACTGGGTTGGGTGTGAAAAAGTATTTGTTGTTAACATTCTTTTTTCATTCGGTTTTTCCAGATACGACTCCTTTTTTAAAGCTGATCGTTTTGTGTTCATTTTGTTTAGTTCTTTTTTAATAACAGATTTAATGTTTAGTATAGAGCTTAGAAAAAATTCGCAGTGAGATGAGCAAGAAGTAAGGCATGTAGCAACATCAGCACGTCAAAGGGCACTCCTTTAAAGGCAAGGAAGGGCAAAATATTTTAAGTCAAGTGATAGCCATTGTTGTATGAGTCTTACTATTTTTGAATCAAGCACGGGCAACGCCGGGCCATGCTGCTAGTATTAGATAAAAATGTTGAGAATATTAAGAATATTATAATAGATACTATATAACAAAATCAAACAAGCGAAAATATCTGGGAAATGTTTCACGGAGGACAGAAAGTGCGACAGTGTAATCCGAAGGCGCATTGGGATGCACAAAGATGCCTTCCAAAATCTAAGTAAAGAATCAAGAAACTGGAAAATTGCGTTAGAAACAAAGAAAAGAGTACTGCATTATTTTGTAACATCAGTCCTCCTATATGGCAGTGAATGCTGGATAATCTCCAAATGAAGAAGAAACTTGAAGCAACAGAAATATGGGTCTACAGAAGGATAATGGGAATACAATATCACAAGAACATGTGAGCAACGACACAGTTTTAGAAAAAAATAGATATTTATACTTAGCATCAGGAAGAGACAATAGAAATTTCTAGGGCACATAATGAGGAAAGAGGGCTTAGAAAATTTGATACTCACAGGACATTGAAGGTAAGAGGGGCAGAATAAAACAACGTATGACCTACCTAGCGAGCTTGAGTAAATGGATGATGGAACAAGGTTTAAGAGAGACAAGATTTATTAGAAGCTATAAATGACACGAAATTATTGAGAGCCATAAGGACAAAGCACATGGAAGAAGATTCACTCGTATTAAATGATATTAGATCTTACTGTACGATGCGTCAGAATAATTGACAATATTAAAACATAAAAGAGACATAATTTAAAAGCGGAATTAGAAAATAAAGTCGACGTAATTTATAGATATCTTAGGAATTGTATTATAATACTTATTATAAAACCCAGGCTATGTGTGTGTGTGTGTGTGTGTGTGGTGTGTCTGTTCGTTTATATATTGGATCGGATTTCCTACCTTTTTTCAACCGATTTCAACTAAACTTCACAGGACTACGTAAAATTACCTTGCGGTGGTTCTGACAGTGCCAAAAATTGGAAAAACACAATTGTTTCTGCATGAAATAAATTTGAAAATACGATTAAGTGGCATCACGAGAATGAAAGGGGGACAACTCATATCGAGTTATACTTATTATAAAAACCCAGGTTGTTTGTTTGTGTGTGTGTGTGTGTGTGTGTGTGTGTGTGTGTTTATATATGGGATCGGATTTCCTACGTTTTTCAACCGATTTCAACAAAACTTCACTTTTTTTGGCAGGTAGTGTTTCTTATTGTCTTGCACACTTTTTTCTTTATTTTTACATCCAGAATGCTTTAAAAATTCCGTTTACAAGACAATTGTTTATAATAAAATTCTATTCAATTGGAAGACTCATAACGATTGAAAACAATGTTTTTGTTTCAGTTTGGGTTTGACCAATTCGTAACCCCCCCACCCCCAAAAAAAACAACCCAAAAAAACAAAACTAATTAAGACATGCGTGTCTGTCAACCTTAAACAATAATCTTTGTCAATTTTATTTTTCAGTCTTTATGATTGTCGATACTTGATCTATCTCTTACTGTTCCTCTCATCCCCGGGCAACGTCGGGCTCTACTGCTAGTTTAAAATATTATATTATATGCAGTGCTTCTGAGAAATTCAAACGGACATTGGCCAGATGTTCTCAGAGAATTCTTGTGTCGAATTTAACATAGTGCAAAATAGCAGTGGTTACGAAACGGCGATTGCGAATCGTATCTTTTCGCAGCCAGATGCCGTAAAGACGACCGGGTTCGTCCAGCAAATCGAGGACATCATCAATCTCAAACGGGAGAAGTCGATAAGGACCATCATCGAACAGCTCAAGATGGTTGAATCCACTACCAGTGATCAAGTAACCAGTCCTAAGCTATGCGAAACTGGTTGTTGATGTCTGACCAACCGAGGAGAATAGTGTGATCTGATCGAACGTCTTATTCAAACACTTTGCTGAGAACTTTGAATAGAGTATCTTACGATACTTCCCACCAGATGACAGTCCTGGTGGTCACGAGCAATGGTGACCATTTCATGCCACACTGCATTTCCCTACAGGGATTCACTGTCAATACCTCCGCAACATGAAGGTGCTGGTAAAGTTCTGGATCGAGAAGTGGTCCAGAGGAAGCTGTACATGTTCTAACAGGAATCTTTTTGTTGTTTATTTACTAAATGTTCAACTAATACAACGCCAAGAGGCACTCAAGGTAGACTGGTAGCGGCGCTTTGCAAGTAGACTTACGAATGTACCTTCCTGCTCATCGATGGAATATGAGAGGTGATTAAACCTTATCTACGTGACATTGCAGGTCTTAACTATGAATAACTGATATGGTGGAACAAGGGAATGTGGTATGTCAGATCGATTGCCATATATATATATATATATATATGTGTGTGTGTGTGTGTGTATGTGTATAGATAAATAGATATGATCAGGATGAGAGAGATGATAATATTGAGCTAGCTAGCTAGCTAGATAGCTAGATAGATAGATAGATAGAAAGATAGATAGATATTGTTCTTAATATATAGATAGATATGATCAGAATGAGATAAATAGATGATAATATTGAGATAGATACTATTTACATTATTCGGACTATTGTCCTCATCTTTGTCGCCATATTTATTACAACATTTCGGCCTTTCAGTACCTGTCTATATTTCTGAGATGAGGTATTATGTACACTATTTACATTATTCGGACTATTGTCCTCATCTTTGTCGCCATATTTATCACAACGTTTCGGCCTTTTAGTATCTGTCTATATTTCTGATATGAGGTATTATGTACATTATTTACATTATTCGGACTATTGTCCTCATATTTATCGCCATATTTATTACAACGTTTCATTTCTCATTACCTCTATAGACATGACAGGAATATGTTGTTTAGATTGGACGAACGTTTACATAGGACCTTATCTTTCTATTAAAATTGGAGTAAATCTGAAATTCAAGGATGGATTTTATGTGAAGATGTTTTGTAGAATGAACTTGGAGATACATGTCATCGCATGATTCATTTTGATAATACTTAATTCTTAATTATCTGCATGGACATAACAGAAATATGATGTGCAGATTAGACGACAGTGTAAATAGGACCTTATATTTCAATTAGAATTGGTGAATCGAATTTCAAATGTAAGGATAGGACGGATGTGAACATGTTCAGAAGCCCTTTGGGAAGACATGGGAGCGTATTATTCATATTGAAATTAATTAATTCCTAATTAACTGTATTGACATAAGAAGAATATGTTGTTCAATTTGGACGAGAGCGTAAATGGGATCTGATTTTTCCATTGTAATAGGCGTCGATTTCAAATTCAAGAACGAAGAGTATTTGAAGAAGGAATTTGTGAATGGCATCGCATAGTCCATTATGAAATTGCTTCATCCCTCATTACCTGTATGGATATGACATAAATCTGTTTTTCAGATTGGACGAGTGTATAAATTGTACCTGACCTGCACATTAGAATCGGTGTCAATTGAAAATGCAACGATGGAGATCATATGAGGTAATTGGTCTCCTGAACTGCCATTTTTATAGCCTACTCTCATAATATATATATATATATATATATATATATATATATATATATATATATATATATATATATAATTATTTATTTAAAAATATGATTCCAAATCGCAACATAAGAAGTCCCATGTTTCAAAACAAGAGCCGAAAAACTTCAATATAATTATTTAAATTATTTAAATTAAATTGAGTTAAAATAAGCTCTGTTCCATCTTCAAGCGAATTTTTTTTTTATATATATTCTCCTATTCTTTCACATTTGTTTCTTAGTCGCTTTATTTCCTTCCATTGGATGAATTTTTAAAATATAATAGAAAATTGTGTATGTGCTCACTTTTTATTTTGAATTATGCATAAACTGCCCTTCTAATATTTATATATATATACATATATATATATATATATATATATATATATATATATATATATATATATATATATATATATGCGTGTGTGTGTGTGTGTGCGTGTGTAATACATGGGAAGATATGAGTGACTGAGCACAGTTCAATTTTTCGGCTAATTTTTCTTCCCAGCAGAAAGAGATCATTTATGGGTGCGATTTGCTGGCACCGATTCGACTCACACACAATGACGCACGGATCCTTTGCGTATGAAGCAACGATAAACTCTGTTCAAGAAAGCATCTAATATCATAAAAAGTGAATATCCTTCATCATGGAGATAGTTGAAGGTAAAGAGCAAAGGAGAATGAAATTAGACACTATCCGTCTATCTCTGCCTGTCTGTCTATCTATCTATCTATCTATCTACGCCAGTTTTTTCATATCAATCTACCTACCTATGCCAGTCTTTTCTTATCTATCTATGCCAGTAACTTCTTATCTATCTATCTATGTCAGTCTTTTCTTATCTATCTATCTATCTATGCCAGTCTCTTCTTAGATATCTATCTATCTATCTATCTATCTATCTATCTATCTATCTATCCCAGTCTGTTGTTAACTATCTGTCCATCCCAGTCTGTTCTTATCTATCTATCTATCTATCTATCTATCTATCTATCTATGCCAGTCTCTTCTTAGATATCTATCTATCTATCTATCTATCTCATCACTGTTCTTATCTATCTAGCTATTTCAGTATAGTCATATCTATCTATCTATCTATCTATCTATCTATCTATCTATCTATCTATCTATCTATCTATTTCTGCTCATATCTATTTCTGCTCATATCTTTCTATCACTGTTCATATCGTTTTATCTATATATTCCTCTACCAATATTCATATCTATCTATCTATCTATCTATCTTGATGCTTTTATTTAGTTTTTTATACAATTTCTCATGCGATGTAATAATTTTTTTTTCTTTCCGGATGATAAATTATATAAAAACTGTCCGAATGTTCTTTTTATCCGAGCGCTTTCGGCTATACATTTAGCCATTTTCAAGGATTAAATATTTTAACTGTTAAATAAGAAATAGTTGTATGTTTTATAAAAATGTTTTCATTTTTCAAAACACGGTCAAGATATTGTGTTCATGTTTATAGTTAATATTATTAAGTGTCGTTTTTTTTTTTTGTTTTTATTAAGAACGCTTCCATTATTTTTAGTCTTTTTGCATGTAGATGATGCTATTATATTAGTGTTGTCAACAAGTATGTCCGGTAGGTCTCCATGATTATTTAAATAAGATCTAATTGAGCTATGGTCAGAAAGATGTAGAGTGAGTCTGCGTGTCAAACATGTTGCAGTGTGGCCTATATAATTATTTACGAATTTTGATTGATCAGGAATACAATTCCTTAATGGGCATTTAAATTCGTAAATAATATTTGCCCTATTTAATTTTGCTCTAAGAGGTGAATTATTATATTTCAGTATAATGTTAGAGGTTTACCAATTTAAATTAATTGAAAGAACCGCTTTAGTTTCTTTTCTTTCACCATACGGTCAGTTTTTAGACGCACTGGAGTGACAGGGTGTAATCGATTTCGATTTTTCCTGCGATTAGGTCATTTCCAGTGGTGTGCAGTAATATGAATCTATTTTCGCGGTGTATGATGAAATCTGTTTGGCCTTTAAAAATATTGCGCCATCCGTCGCATCAGATTTTTTAGCCCGCCCAGACACTATTGTCTCGACTGTCGATTAGTTGTCCTACGACCATTGTCTGCGATGGACGTTACTCCAAGAAAACGTACGCAAGTTGTAATGCTGCACGAACACACTGGCAAGCCATATCAGTGAGTAAATCAAAGTACTATAGAGTGGCTCGAAAACTCTCTTGATTTAAATCCAATCGAGAATTTGTGGTCAATGTGCAAAGAACGACTTAGAAGGATGGACATACGAAGTACTAACATGTGCACTGAGGCATACTTCATTGGAAAAATACGAAGAAAAGTAAACACTAACGGAAGTATTCGTTTTGTTTCCATTAATTTGCACAAGGGTGTAGGTGATCACGGCCCTCCACATCTTCCTGAATAATTAATTTGCACAAGGGTGTATTTAACATAGAGGGAATAATGCACATAGTGGATTAAAACGTTGGTTCGCGAATTTGGTGGCATTGTGATTGTGAGTTCAATCCCTGGGCGGGGCAGTGTATGCGTGGACGCAGTGGAAACAGGGCGAGTAGTAACTAAACAGTATTTAATATAAGAATCAGACGAGATATCCCGAGACATGGACAGTTGAATGAGGACAGTCCACCCACTTATATTAAATAAAAAATTCAGTTCAGAATTCATTGTCGGTTACCCAGATCGATATACACCTAAGGAAGGCCGGAGAATATAACAATATACACCTGAAGATGTCATTAAACTATTTATATTTAGACTATTGTCCTGATGCCTATACATGGGTATTGGAACGAGAACAGTTTATCTCCATAGATTAAATAAAGGGTTCAGTTCAGAATTCCTTATAGGGTACCCAGATCGATATAGACCTAAGGAAGGCCGGAGGATATAACAATATACACCTGAAGATGTCCTTAAACTATTTTTATTTGGACTATTGTCCTCATGCCTAGACATGAGCTGTGGAACGAGAACAGTCTATTCCCATAGATTAAATAAAGTGTTCAGTTCAGAATTACCTGTCGTTTGTTTTGGTTTGGTTTGGTTTGGTTTACGGCATGTTATTTAATGCAGACAAAATTTTTATAGCTAGTAATAAGTTTTTCTTCAAAAATCTATTTCTGGGAATATTTTTCCTTGAAGAAATCTATAGCTGGTAATATTTTTTTTCAAAGAATGTATAGCTGTTTGTATTGCTAGTATTTTTTTAAAGTATTGCTGATAATTTTTCCTTCAAAAATTATTGCTGGTAATATATATATTTTTTTATTACAAAGTATTTCTGGTATTAAAACCTATTTTTACACAAGTTTGGGTGTCAACTATTTGCCCATTACTGGGTCCCTCATAGGTGCTACCACCCCCGGTCAGGATGAACCTGGAAACACCAGCAATTAAGAGGTAGTTCCACACTCCTCAAAACCTTCTGATCAGAGGCCTTGCTGTTGGACGTAGTTTATCGTCTTACCCAGGATGCGGATGTAGTTTATCGTCTTACCCTGGACGAGGATGTAGTTTATCGTCTTATCCAGCACGCGGATGTAGTTTATCGTCTTACCCAGGACGCGGATGTAGTTTATCGTCATACCCAGGACGCGGATGTAGTTTATCGTCATACCCAGGATGACCATTGTCGTTTGTTTTATATTGATTGTTTTATTTAATTATTTTTACCTGGACTCACTTCGGTCCGCCAATATTGTTGGCGGGATAAATGTTCCAGGCGGCAGTAAATATTTATTATCCAAAGTGTTGATTCCCGCAACATAATGGGGACTAATATTTACTCACACATCGTAGCATCCTGAACTTTTGTCTCAAAGACAGGAAATTTAGCGAAATTGATTTAAAAATTAGTAAATAAATAAGTAAATTATTTTAGTTTATCACTGCTTTCAAAATGGAGCGATGATTCCCATGCTGTGAGGTTTTTGTTTTATATTCCTTCGTTTGCTGAGACATGTTTGAAATTAAGGCAATTTTGATCACGATATAGAGTTCGTTTGTTTTGTTTTTTTTGTTTTTTTCTTTCTTTTTAAAAGTTCCCCCTCGTCATTCTTAATGAAAAACAGTTTTTTATTTTCATGAAAATATAATAAAGTCATATCAAAGAGCGTTCCGGTTATGACAATGAAGTCGGTTTGTGTTATAATTCCGAATTTTGAAATCCTGAAATTTAAAATCCTGAAATTTATAATCCTGAAATATCAGAATCCCGAAAATTAGCCTTTGGGAAAAATTGAAAAAAAAAAAATGGAAATACCTTTATTTCTAAACATTTACAAAATAGCGTTTAAATAGTGTTTATACATTTGAAACGTTCAAAATTCATTAAAAAAACATAAAACCTGAATATATGAATCATTTATAAATAAAGATTATGAGCAAGAGTTCTAAGATTATTCATATGATCTGGTCAGTTTTCACGATCCTTAACTATATTTTTAAACCTTTCATAACGATAAGACATATTTTTTTGACAAGACTCTCCTCAAAGAAAGCGTCCACATTGGTTTTCCAAGTGCTCTTTAATTATTATGTTCCCCAGAAATTCCAAGTGTTTCTTCCTGATGTAAAGTATAAGTCCCTTTTATATGATAAAACTTTCTCATTGCTCACATGTTCAGTCTTTGGTATTCTTAGCTTTCTTCTGTAGAAATACACTAAAGGAGTGTGTCATTATCGCGTATATAAAACAGACGGGTGCCGATCATAATCAGGAATCTTAAAATCCCCAATGTCGAAATCCTGAAATTTAAAATCCAGAGGTTTGAAATTCCAAAAGATCAAAATCCAGAAATTTAAAATATTGAAAGATCAGAATTCCCAAAAATATTCTTTAGGGGAAATTAAAAAAAAAAAAAAAAAAAACGATTTCAAAATAGCGTTTAAATAGTGTTTATACATTTGAAACATTCAAAATTCATTAAAAAAAAACATAAAACCTGAATATATGAATCATTTATAAATAAAGATTATGAGTCCGAACATTGTTCATATGATCTGGTCAGTTTTCACGATCGTTAACTGTATTTTTAAACCTTTCATCCCGATAAAACATCTTTTTTTATAACTTGTTTTAGTTTTTCCATTCGTTAGAATTGTCTTCATATGTAATTCCTTTTGCGAATAGCGTCCATAGTCGTTTGTTTTATATTGATTTTCTTATATGACTTATTTTTACCTTGACTCACGTCGGTCCACCGATACTGTTGTTGGGATAAATTTTCCAGCAGCCCCTAAATATTTATTATCCAAATTGTTAATTCCCGCTGCATAATAATGGGGCTTAATATTTACCCAAACATACAAGCAACCGGCAACAGTATTTGATAATCAAACATACCACCGTAAAAAGAAATTTTTCATTAATAAATATTGAAATGTTAGCTTTAACCTTTATTTCATTTTATTTTATTTTTTCTTTCGTGTTAGCAATCTTTGGATATTCTGTATTTAATGTTTCTTTTTATTGATGCGACAATAAAGGGAATTTTACAGATAGTAATCGCCGATTACTCATACAGAAAGCGTAACCAATAAAAATGTAGAGTTATTTAAATATCACTGACAATTTCTAACAGTACGATTAAAATAGTGAATATATAATACTGAATATAGCAATGCGTAAAAACTTCGTGTTGGCTTTTTGATGATTTTTTTATTTTTTTTTTATTTTCGGTGAATAATAAAGAAGAATTTTCACTTATATGAAAACAATAGAATTGTAGAGAGAGAAAAAAAAGACTAGATTACTCACGCCGAAAATAAGAACAATGCAACCTCAAAAGGACTTAAATAAAAGCGTCACTTTTTAAGAGTAAATGCAAACTATGTTTACATTCGTATGCAATACGTTAAAATTTCCCTTCCTCTCTGCCATGCACCGATATATCTGACTGATGTCAAATCGGTAGGGTTTCAATCCCGGATGGAATTAACATGATGTCTAGCCACACTGATGAGCTGTGATACAACGAAACAAGCCTGGAAGTGGATGACCATATTAAATATTTATATATATATATATATATATATATATATATATATATATATATATATATATATATATATATATATATATATATATATGTGTGTGTGTGTGTGTGTGTGTGTGTGTATAAAAGTGAACATTGAAGTGAACTCTCAGGGCGACAGACTGTTTCATGCTAAACGTAATCATCATGGCCTGATGATTACGTTTAGCATGAAACAGTCTGTCGCCTCTGAGTG